ATTAAAACTTTATGCCCCTGGCTGGGTGCGGTGGCTTGTGCCTGTAATCCTAGTACTTTGGGAGACCGAGGCGGGTGGATCACAAGGTCAAGAGATTGAGACCGTCCTGGCCAACATGGTGAAACCTCATCTCTACTAAAAATACAAAAATTAGCCGGGTGTGGCAGCAGGTGCCTGTAGTCCCAGCCACTCAGGAGGCTGAGGCAGGAGAATCGCTGGTACCCAGGAAGTGGAGGTTGCAGTGAGATCCTGCCACTGCACTCCAGCCTGGCGACAGTGAGGTAAGCCACTGTGAGCATAAAGCTTTTATTTTCTTTTTTTGTAAGGTTTTATTTTCTTTTTATGTAAGCATAAAAGTTTTATTTTCTTCTTCTTTTTTTTTTGGGACGGAAAAATAAAACCTTTATGCCTTACCCTGGCACAGTGGCTTCTGCCTGTAATCTCAGGAGTTTGGGAGGCTGAGGCAGGAGGATCCCTTGAGCCCAGGAGTTTGAGACCAGCCTAGGCAACACAGCGAGACCCCGCCTCTACAAAAAATTAAAAAGTAGCTGGACATGGTGGGACATGCCTATAGTCCCAGCTGCTGGGGAGGCTAAAGTGGGAGGATCACTTGAGCCCAGGAGTTCAAGGCTGCAGTGAGTCATGATCACACCACTGCACTCAGCCTGACCAGTAGAGCAAGACACTGTCTTAAAACAAACAAACAAACAAACAAAAACCCCAAATACCCCAAGATTTATGCCACTTTGGAAAACAAAACGAAAAAACCAAAAATCCCTAAAATGCTACCAACAAGTATGATAGCATAAGTATAATATTAGCATAATAATATAAACAAGAGAAAAAAACCAGTTAAAAAGTTTCTGGAAGGAAAGACTGTTTTTCTGTTATAATCACAAGAAAACAAGAAAGAAAAAGCCATATGCCCTGTCAGGGGCATCCATTTACATCCTCTGGAATAATTATTGCACAAACCCTGTGAAGTAAACCAAGAAAATCCTGTAGTTCCATTTTAAGGATGGGCAAGCTGAGGCCCATGGCAGTTAAGTATCTTGCCCAAAGTCAGTGGCCAACTTGGAGGCGAATGCTGGGTCAGAGGTCCCGCTGGAAGCCTGTGTCCTGGAGCCAGTCCCATCTGCTCCCTCCTCGTGCCTCCACCCCACCTCCGCTTGGCTCTTTGGTGGTTTTCTTCTGTGCTCCCTCCCCTGAGGCATCTGAGTGTGGCCTGAGTGGCATTGTGCAAGCCCAGAGTGGGACGGTGACAGCCTCCCCTCCCCTCCCCCAGATCCGATCTGTGATCAGGAGGAGCCGGGAGACGGGCCACGCACACCCCATGTCCCGGGAGCCCTCCCCTCGCCGCCGGCTGGACCCTGCCACTCTGAGCAGGACCCCATCCCAGGAACGGCTCATCGCGGAGCTGCAGGGGCGGCTGGGCATCCAGCCTGAGGCAGAGGAGCCGGTGGAGGCAGCGGGGTCCTCTGCCGAGGACTGGCTGACCGAAGGCGTCATCATCACTGTGCAGCCTCGTGGGAAGCGGGCTGGGGGGCAGCTTGTAGAGAAGGTGGTGTGGAGATGCCCAGGGCTGGGGCTGGGCCAGGGCCAGGCACCCTGGGTCCAGGTTCTTCCCTGTCCCCAGTGCTGGCCAGAGGGTAGGGTGGGGTTTCTTGCTTCTGTGAACTTGGAAGACTGGCCCCACTCTTGGTGCAGAGTGGGAAGGCCCAGGGGGAGCCTGGGGAGGTCACCCCACCCCCGCGGGCTGAGCGGATGATTTCCTCCTCATTGCTCTCCCTCCTTTCTTCTCCCCAGGTTGTCTTCCCTCCTGGCTCTCCCATTCCCCTGAGAAGAACCATCTCTGTCCTGGCTTCTCCTTCTGTCCCTTTGCTCCAGCATCACACAGACGCCGAGGCCAGCAGCTCTTCTCCCCTGTCCAGCCTGCCTGCCCCCTCCTCCCTGGGACCCTCAGCTTGCACCTGTGATTCTTCTGGGGTTCGGAGTGCAGGGGAAGAGCCCCATGATGAGGGGGTGCAGGGCCCCACCCTTCCCACTCCTGTACCCCATACCATGAGGTCCGTGGGCTGCCAGACCGACGAGGACCCGCTCTTCCCCGCAATGCAGGCAGGCCTTAAAGGGGCCCCTCCCTTTCTGCTCCCTGTCCTAGTGCCTGAGCCGTCCCCACTCTGCACACACACATGTGCACACACACATGCGCACACACATACACACTCAGATACCCTCCTTCCCTCTATCCATAAGCTCCTGCCTTAAACCTCGACCTTGGTCTCCCCCCTCGGGAGGTCTACTGCCCTCTCACCATTCTGTGGGTCCCTCCCATCTGTCCCTTCCTCGACTGGTCCTCGGGACTGCCCTGGGCTCCAATCAAGGAAGCCACTCCAGAAGGGAGACTAGAAACCTGTCTCCTCCCCTTCTGGCCCCCAGGCCCAGTGCCTGCTGAGGCCTCTTCACTCTAAGCCCGGCTACTTGCCCTTGCCATGTCCTCTGCCTCTGGTCAGCTCCCCTCCCCTCCTTGTCCTTCGTCTCTCCCGGGCCTCTCTCTCAGGGCTCTTTTTCTCCAAATTTTTTTCCCCAGTTTTTGTCCTGCTGGTGGGGGAGAAACCCTCAGATCTCATACTAGATTCCCTTTTAGTCCAGTGGCAAGGTCTCTTATTCTTTCTTCTTTAATTTTTAAAAAAAGATTTCTTATCCTCATCTCTTCCCCTATCTAAGATCCAGGGCCTGGAGCAAAGAGCGGATGGGGAGCTGTGCTGGGCAGCCGGCTGGCCTCGGGACAGCGGGCGGAGCAGCCCTGGAGGGCAGGACGAGGGAGGGGTCAGTGTCAAGGCTGGGCTGGGTGTCCTGCGCGTCGTGCTCTCCCTGGGCTTGGCCGTGCTTGCTGGGTGCCCTGAGCCTTTCTGACCCCCGGTGGGCTCCTCTGACCACCGGGAGTCCTGCTGACGTCACACCCACTTTAGGGCTCCTGGCCCCTGGAGGAGGTTGTACTTCTTGTCTCCATCAGCTCAGCTGTCCAGGAGAAAGAAAAGTCTCCCCATCCCTGTGCTGCCAGACACTGTACCCTGAGCCTCAGGGGTCCTGACCAGCCCCCTCCCTGTCTCTACAGTTCATGACCCAGGGGAAGACAGGGAGCAGCTCCCCTCCGGGGGGGGCCCCGAAGCCCGGGAGCCAGCTAGACAGCATGCTGGGGAGCCTGCAGTCCGACCTGAACAAGCTGGGGGTTGCCACAGTCGCCAAAGGAGTCTGCGGGGCCTGCAAGAAGCCCATCGCCGGGCAGGTGATGAGAGGGAGAGGGAGCGGGGTGGCCAGTGGGCCCCTCTGCAGGGGTGCGGGTGCTCCGGGGCTGGCCTCGGCCCTGCACGCATTTCATCTTCCTCCTCAGGTTGTGACCGCCATGGGGAAAACGTGGCACCCTGAGCACTTCGTCTGCACCCACTGCCAGGAGGAGATTGGATCCCGGAACTTCTTCGAGCGGGACGGACAGCCCTACTGTGAGAAGGACTACCACAACCTCTTCTCCCCGCGCTGCTACTACTGCAACGGGCCCATCCTGGATGTGAGTTCCTACCCGGGCACCACACCTACTCGGCTCATTCCATCTTCACCGTGGCCCTCTGACGGTGCAGGGGGCGCCGTCGGAGCCTCAGAGAGGTCACATGCCTGAGGCTCACAGGGCCAGGGAACAGTGTGGCCGGATTCAAACCCACATCTGAACCATAGCCTGTCCCAATGCGTGTCCAGCAGCCCCACCTCCCTTCACCTCCCATCTCGATTCCCTTCTGTGGAGACCCCCGGCACTCAGGAGCCTGAGCAGATATATGGAGTTGGATGCCGGCTGTCTCCCACTCTTGCTCTGTGAACTTAGGAAATGCCTGGCCTCTCTCAGACTATGTTTCTTCACTTACAAAATGAGAGTCATAGGCCGGGTGTCATGGCTCACGCCTGTAATCCCAGTACTTTGAGAGGCCTAGGTAGGCAGATCACCTGAGGTTGGGTGTTTGAGACCAGCCTGACCAACATGGAGAAACCCTGTCTCTACAAAAATACAAAATTAGCTGAGTGTGGTGGTGCATGCCTATAATCCCAGCTACTCAGGAGGCTGAGGCAGGAGAATTGCTTGAACCTGGGAGGTAGAGATTGTGGTGAGCCGAGATCACGCCATTGCATTCCAGCCTGGGCAACAAGAGCAAAACTCCGTCTCAAAAAAAAAAAAAAGTGGTGGCGCATGCTTATAACCCCAGCTACTCAGGAGGCTGAGGCAGGAGAATCACTTGAACCTGGGAGGCGGAGGTTGCAGTGAGCCAAGATCACGCGACTGCAC